CCAGAACTTCTTCAAGTTACTTGACCTGTAATGTAGTATGAAGTAAAATTATTCTAAACTACAATAACTCTGTCTATTTTAAAGCAAATGGAAGTTCAAATATTTTCTTTACTTTTTTTTTTTTTACATTGGTTGGTCAATAAGTAAAATTCTACCCACTACACAAACAAACGACCATACTCAATCCTTTGATAATGTCTGAAATTGTTGAACCGAACAACTTAGTGATTGGTTCATGGTTATTATGAAATACATTTAAATTGTTTTGACAGGTAAAGCAATAAAAAATCTCTCTATTCGCATAAATAGTTGGCTTTTTGAGCTATTTTATGGGCCAATCTATTATGATTTTTACCAGTAACACATTTAGATTGATTTGCAAAAAATGTGTTGCCCATCATGTATGAGTGTCATTTGAGTTAGGTGTGTGAGAAACATCAAATTTAACGTGTTAGATAAAAATAACAAATATATCAAATATCTCCCCAGTTGGTTGTGGACAGCATAACGGAGAAAACTCATCCTCCTTTATGGATTATTGTCAACATTATCAGGGATTAAGATCTTATTAGATCATACGCCATCTAAATAAGAGTTACCCACACGTCAAATGATTTCGGATCTCCAGCCCACGAGAACTCTGCCCATGCCTACTCATAATACATTACCCCTGTTAATTGGGAATATCTCCCCTGCATAATACTGTGCAGATGATGAGATGTTCTCCATGTGTGGCTGCGATAAACGTGGGCAGGAGATTCGGACTCGTCAAACAGGATAGCTGAGTAAGGTGTGTTTTAAGTGTTATGATCTTTTTCGGTGTTTTAAGTGTTAGGACACAAGTGTCTTTAAAGCTTTCGATTAATGAACACCCTAATCAGTTTGAGAGTCTTGAGGGGAAAAAAAAAACTCAAAACATTTCATGCAATGCTGGTTGTAAATTTTTTACACAACCATCAAGTTGAGCTAATCCACTCCCATTCAAGTTTTTGGTTTGATTGTTATTGAAGTAGTCAACATTGGGCCTTTTAGGTTAGGGGGTAGGGATGATCATGGGCTGCATTGCGCCGGTTACAGTCTGAGTTTTTACATGCTGTGGGCCTTGAAGCCTACCTAGGCCGAGTCCCGGGCAGGGCTGGGTCGGGCATCTGGGTTGGTCCACATGAATATACAGTATTTGTCTGTTAAAATAAACAAAGTTTTAATTTAACTTTATAATCAAAATTATAAAAAATAAGCTTCAAAACAATTGTAGAAAATATATTTAAAAAATATTATATATTAATATATTATACCATGCTAGTGTAAGGGTACATGTTATGCACATGTGCAAGTAAAGGTAAAGATAAGTTAATAATATATTGTCATATTTAACTTTTATGACTTGCATTAAAACCATGGCAAGTATCTTTTTATAATAATATAGATATTCGTACCATATATATTTGATAAAATACTATTCCATATATGTATGCGATGCTATACAATTACCATAAAATTATAAGATACTACACAATACACAACTTCTATGCCTAGGGCTTGCTTAGCCGAAGCCCAATTTGCATTTTATGCAAGCTTGATGCGAATCCAATTTGAGCTAGGTCATAGAGAAATTAGGGTGGTGTTCGGAACCATGGTCATCTTGTGGATGGCCAATTTCGGTCCATGACATAGGATGGACATGGTGTTTAGTTGGTTGTGGACGGGACTGGTCTACAATATATTGTGAGTCGTTCCTATTCACAGCCCAAAATCTTGACCACACATATATTTCATGGATGTGGTCGGTCCACAACATTTCCACAATCTATTTTGATACAATACATCATTATATATTTTCTTTCTTTTTAATTTTTTAAATATTATTTTTTAATATTTTATTAATAAAATAATAATTTTTAATGTTAATTCTAGCACAAGCCGGATGGTGCTCCTTCTCCATTATTTTTTCATTTATTTAAATATCAATTTTTAATATTTTTATTAATAAAATAATATTTTTTAAATATTTAAAAAATATATTTTTTTTATTTTTTAATTACTTTACCATCATTTTTATTAAAATTAATATTTATTGGTTAATGTAATTTATCGATGATTTTTTCAATATATATATCATATAAAATGCAAAAATTAGGCATTTATAATCGAATGTGGAGATAAAATGTATATAAGATACATGGAATCAAAAAGTGTGGTGTGGATTGGTGTCCACACCATGCTTACAAAACGCCACTATGGGTGTGGATTAGTCTAGCCCACACATTCTCTATAATTCAGAATAGTTGTGGACTGAGGTGTGGTGTGGTATGAATTGATCCCTATCACAAGGTGTAGTGTGAATCAGTCCACACTCACCAATTTCTCATCCACACTATATAATACACCTTAGACTACCAAGACCTAGAAATTTAAGGGATTGGAAGACTGGGCTGGGTCATAAATGATCATCCTGCTAGGGGGCCTTAGTCCCTTTCATATTTTAGTACTTTACAATCACACGCCTTATGACTCTTGATTGTGGTCAGTCTAGTCGTTAGCTAGGGCTGGTTGGAACTTGGAATTGGAAGCACTACTGTAGTTTAGATTGGCTCGAGCTGTTAAGGCGATCCTTGATGTATATCCATATTGTCAGAGTTTATTATGGCGTTATGCAGAAAATGTGTGCACAAAATAGCCATTCTTCAGATGACCCATTTTTCCGTGTCGAAGGGATGAAGTGCAGCGGCTTCGGGCTTTCTAAGGTGGACCCCATATGGTCAGACTATAAACTATGTTCGTTCGATGAAAAACCCAAAAGAGTCTTGAGTGCTCATTTGGAAGGGCTTACACAAAGTGGCTTTTAACTTTGCAAGGTGGGAACCACATAGAAAGCCTATAAGTTATGTTTGGTGAAAACCTTGGAGACCTCAGGTACACATTATTTCAGCCAAAATATCAGCTTTTCATTGAAAGCTAGCTCTAGTAGCTTCTTCAAAACAGATCAATCAAATCTTAAGCCCTCCCAAAAGGGCTCTAAATTGTCTGTCAATCTATCATTTGAAAGGCTGTCCACTTCAGCCTCTTTGGATAGCTTATCCAATGCACTTTAAAGCAGTTGATTCAGCTCAGCTCTCCCAAACTGACCCTAAGTTGCTTAGCTATTGGGCCTAAAGGTTCCATTTTCACATTCTACAGCATGAGTGATGGCATGGTTGAGCTACTATTTATGTATGTGGGTCATGTCGGGGTGATGTGGGCTATGTCATGCTGTGTTGGGCCGTAGACCATGCTAGCACAGCCCACTTTATCATATCATGCTTTGTCGGCCTTTCGGCCTTAAAGTCCACAACCAACACGGCCTATGGGTATGGGCCGGGCTGCGGCACCACTCACTTTACAGCTCTGATTGGTTGTATAAGTATTTTTTTTTATAAAGCAGAAACCAAAAACATCTTCTAGAAACCAACTTGTTTTTACTTCTCAAAACAAAAGTACAGTTTAGTAAGGGTGCTCACAGTTTGGTTAACCGAATCAAATCAATTAGCTAACCAGTTGTTTGGTTTCAGTTTTTGACCAGTTCGTTTCTCTGGTTTATTGGTTTTTATATTTATAATATATATTTTATAAATAAAATGTATATATATGTGATATAATATATAATATATATATATATATATTATATATTATAGAATAGAATACATTTAAACATATAGTGTATAGTATTTATATATATACTGGTCGGTTTGGTTAACCGCCAATTTTTTAGGTTAACCAAAACCAAACTGGTCCTTCAATTTTTCAAAAATACCGAACCGATTGATTCAGTTAACTGAATTTTCAGTTCATTTTTCTCGGTCTTCTAAGTTCAAATTGGGTTTTTTATGAGCACCCTTGCCACTAACGTGTTTTTGTTTTTTATTGATATGGCAATTTCAAAAATAAATATAAAACAATATTCATGTTGTAGAACACCCCCTTAATTAACCTCCTAAGTTCAAATCATATTCCGTGCTGAGGAATTGAATAAAATATTCTATTTTGTCAATATCTTTGATTTTGTATTTGAAAACAGAAAATAACAGCCACATCAAATGAAATTGTTCAAGCAAATACCAAGAAATTATCCTTTAATTTGCTTCTGGGTTGTACCAAAAAAGAAAATATATTTTTTTGCTTTATTAATGCAATTAAAGAGCGAACTTGGTGCCCACAATGTTTCACATTGGAAATTACCCCCCTAAAAAAAGTTTCACATAGGCTGCTGCATTAAAAAAAAAAAAATTATATAAATATATTTTATTACCAAACAGGATTCAAGCATATATACAAACAGTACTGGTGCTTGTGTTTCAAGTACATATAGGTGTTAAAACTCGAAGTTGAATCTGGGATTTGAAAATTACAACGTCAAGGTGCATGGTTTAATTTAGCAGTAGACCTTTTTTTTTTTTTTGGTGAAAGAGTATTTCATTAAACAGAGATGTTGTCTTCTTTGAAAACGTCATTGCTTGTTCTTTGAAAACGGATAATAAAGAAATGTTGTCTTCTCCCTCCAGGAAAGCAACAATTCTGGTTGAAGGCTTGAAGCTTCAGGCCCATGTCTATTTTTCAAGTAGTCCGATCGACTCTAAGTTAAACGTTTCAATTTCAGGCCCATGTCTAAGCAGCCATCTAGAAGCTTCAGCAGATAACCAAAATGTGACATGCACTCCCAGTGTAACCCAACTATCCACGCGGTACAATTAATTTGGATCAGCTTCAATTGTAAGCCCAACTAACCCAATACGACTATTAGCCCATGGCGAGAAATCATCCTTCGTTGAGTTTTCAAAATTCTCTAATTACGTTTCAACGTAATAGATGGAAATTTTGTCATGCTGAAATCATTTTGAGCTATAATTTCGCGTTGTAAATTTTATTTTCCTTGCCGTTTACGTCAAACCAAAAGAAATTAAAATGGATGGAAAATAGATTTTTTTTTTTTTTTGCCATAGAAGAGGGGAAAGTTATAGCTGAAATGTTCAGACTGAAAGATAAAGAGAAAACTCCGTCCTTTTGAACTTTGAAGGAGAAACAAATTAAATACAAGGCCAAGACCCAAGTGGGGAGAGATGAGAATTCAGAGATTACAAGGCCCACTAATACCAGGGAGAGGGCCGAGAGGTGATCAACTGATTACGGTCTTACGGATAGGACAGGGATCGTGATTACACGAAACAAACAGACCCAAATATTGAAAATACAGATTGGACAACGAGACATTGTTTTGGCGGTTTCATTGAGAGTTGGTTCTGTTACGTTTACCAGTATAGTTTCTTGGGGCCGTTTTCTGTATTTTCACTCTTTTTATTTCCTCTTTTTAAATCTCTTCTTCATCCTGATCTTGATTTATTATTGAGTTTATTTTCCGCTGCCATTGGAATCTTTTATTTGTTTATTTTCGGGGCGAGGGTATGTGAAGGAGATGGGATTTCTGAATTGCTTGTTGGGAATTATTGGTTTCGGGATCGGTATTCCAGTTGGGCTTCTTGTGGGATATTTTCTGTTCATTTACTCCGAGCCCGGAGATGTAAAGGTGATTTTAGTTCATCTTTTCGTCATTATCTTTAAGTAACTAATGTTTTTTTATCATTTCTTACATTGCTGATGATACATTTGTTGAATGAGTGTTCTCTTTGATCCTTCTCTTTCTAGTTGAATGCCCCGTTTGTATGCATGACTTCAGAGACTTACACTGTTGAATGAGTAACTATTTTCCTTTGCAGAGACTTCAGTTTATTCCTTATCTGTTAGTCTCGGGTTTCGAATTACACTGTTTTGGACCTCTGATATATGTTACTTTGTTATTTTATTAATTAATAATGGGATTTATACATTGTTCAATAAGTTTTAATAGGATTCAAATAACTTATAGGTTTGTTATAGGTTCCTAATCTTCATTGTGACAACTAAGCTTCTTCAACATTCTCTTGCAGGACCCAATTATCAGGCCACTACATGAATTAGATTCAAATGCTTTATACGAACTCTTACCTGAGATACCACTATGGGTGAAAAATCCTGATTATGACCGAGTAAGGACCAAAAATATTCAAGCTTATATGATTCTTTCAATAGCAAAGAAAATTCCTCTTCATCTTCTTCGTTTTGTTTCTTGCTTGATTTAGTTTTATTATACTATTGAACTTTGTATATCATGCAGGTTGATTGGTTGAACAAATTTATTTTTGACATGTGGCCATACCTTGATAAGGTGATTCTACCTTCTACGTTTACAGATTCTTATTTTGAGTAAATAAAATACATGTAGGATTTTACTGTCTTATTAGCATTTGAAATATAGATACACTACATACTAAACATATATCGATAAGTTATGTTTTCCCTGTCAACTTTGTTTCTGGTACAGGCAATATGTGGTATGATAAGAAGCATGGCAGGCAAAATATTTGCAGAATATATTGGGAAGTTTCAAATAAAATCGATAGAATTTGAAAGGCTAACTCTTGGAAGTTTTCCTCCTACACTACATGGTGAGTAATGGCTTAAAGCTCATCTAATTACAATAACTGAGTAGAATTCCTTTCATCCTCTCTGTTCAGAATGATAGCTAGTCTGGAGCAATATATTCTAGCCACTTGTTTCTAAAGATCCAATCACTTCTCGAATGACATAGTAAACAACCTATTGTCAGGTTAAGCTAAATATTTTCCCATAGGGGTATTTCTATCTGTTTAGTCTTTGCATTTAACTTTATTTTTTTTTCCAGTTTCTCCTATCTGTTATCAATCCTTTGATCGCTAGAAACTGGAATCTCATGGTAAAACATTTACTCCTATTCATAATATTCCTCTCATTTGGACTCTAATCTAGGCAAAAGCGAGTATATAATCTACATTGCAATAATATGGTTCCCTTTGGGTGGACAATGGGTCTTCCAACAATGCATTATCTTACTGGACGTTCATGGTTGTTGAATTCACTATTCATGGTTCTGTYTCTTATATTATTTTTATCTTGTTTGTCTTGTTACTAGTAATAAAAGGCTATTGCAATCTGGTTGGTACTTTACCAATTTTGCAGGGATTAAAGTATATGAGACCAATGAGAAGGAACTAGTTATTGAACCTGTGGTTAGATGGGCTGGCAATCCCAACATAGTACTGGTGCTAACATTGTTCTCTATGAGAATCACTTTACAGGTCAGAAGAGCTCACTAACTATAGTTATTTGTCACGAAGACTGTGTTCTTTCAGTTTTAATACAAGGATGGATCCCTAAGAGATTGATTAAGCTTGTTATTAGTTGGTGGATTTACAAGTATTTGCTGCACCAAGGATAATTCTGAAGCCTCTAGTGCCTAGCTTTCCATGCTTTGCAAGCATAGTTTTGTCTTTGATGAATAAGGTAACTGAACAATTATCTGAAAACTGGCAGTTCGCTTTAGCCTTTTGCTTTAAATTTTATATGGCTTGGTTGACTAGAAACTACCCAATGTGACTATAACCTAGCCAATATTAAGACCATCATCTTAGTAGGCTTTACAGTTTGGGCATTCAACTTAAATGAGTATTTCTTTTCCCTGTTCCCATGCATTTTAGTTAAAGAGCATTCCGACTTATTATGGTCGTTATTGACATATTTGCAGCCACGTGTGGATTTCGGAATGAAATTACTGGGAGGGGACATCATGGCCATCCCTGGCCTATATCATTATGTCCAGGTGCCACACTGGTAATCCTTTTTATGTTTAAGTTGGGATTTTTATCAGTGGTCTAAAATTCTCCTCTTTGGTTGGTTATTTAATTCTATTATGAGGGGCCATTATTTGGTGTCATGGTAAAATATTGGACTGACAAGTGTGAGAGCGTAGGTTTGAGTCTGAGCAGCCACTTTGTGCAAAAATTGCCAAAGGTTAGGTCTGTATCCAGCACACCCCTCCCAAGACCCCAGTTAGCTGGGACCAATGTTGGGTAATGGCCTTTTTTTATTTAATTCTATTGTAAGTATTTGGTTGAAGGGCCTTTTTGAAACAACAGCACAATGAATTAATAAGTAACCCATTATAAAATGTGATTCTATAAATATACAAATCAGTTTGGAAACAAGTTTCAGTACTTCTCATGTTTAAAAACAATGATGTTGCTATTTGTTGAACATATCATTGAATTTCCATTTTTTTGTATATATGATGCTATTCTTCCTTTTAATCAAAAAGGATCCATTAAGATTGTGCAGACTTAAAAGCTTGTAATTTTATTTTCAAAATAGACATAATGAAGACAAGCTAAACTTAATATTTGTAAGTTTTAAATGTCTTGAACTAGTTCCATTTAATTATTTATTGTTGCTTGCAGGAAACTATTGAAAAACAAATTGCAAGTCTGTACCTATGGCCCCAAATCCTTGAAATCCCTATCCTTGACAATACAGTGTAAGCATTTATTAGTTAGAATGTTTCATCTTGAGTTGACTTGTTACTTATGGTAATTCATTTTTAAAACTTTATAGTTCCGTACTATGCATAATTGAATGAAGTTTGCTCATTATATGGTCTGGCCATTTCTTGACAGTTTAGGAAAGTAGGAAATGGTTGAGCAGATCTACATTGGTGAGCATTAAAGTGCCAACTTAGCCTTTGATCTTATGGGAAATTGAGAACTTTTCATAAAGCTCATAAAATTTAAATTCAGGAGGAAAGGGAAAACAGTAAGCTAGATCTAAATAGAGAATTTTGAGTGAGTTCCAATGTATGATGATATTAGTATGGGTGTGACCATATTTATTTGCACTAAGATTCTTCTCCTTCAACATTTAATTATCAGATAAATGATTGCTAAAGTCTTTCCCTTGTACCATTTTTTTTCTTTTCACAGAGGAGCAATGAAGAAGCCTGCTGGTATATTACATGTGAGAGTCAAACGGGCACTCAACCTCTTGAAGATGGACTTACTGGGAACATCTGATCCATATGTTAAACTCAGATTGAGTGGTGAGAGGCTTCCCGCAAAGAAAACCACAGTCAAGATGAAGAACTTGAATCCTGAGTGGAATGAGGAGTTCAAGTTTATTGTGAAGGACCCTGAATCTCAAGTCCTTCAGTTGCATGTCTATGACTGGGAAAAGGTTTAAGTCATTGTCTGCTTCCTGCATATTTCTTCAAATATCAAAATTTTCATGTGTTCTTCTCCCACTTAGGATTATAATGATTTTTTAACTAAAAAAATGATTTTCGGTTTTTCAACATGGAAGTGATGAAATATAAGCCTTAAACCTGGACTTGGGATTGGACTCCCGGCCATATTAGGTTGACTCAGCTAAAATTTCAGTTTGGATAACAAATTAAGTTTTAAAGTTCTGATTCAACAGGTTGGGACACATGACAAGTTGGGAATGCAAGTAATTCCTTTGGTATCTCTGGTTCCACATGAAACAAAAGAATTTACACTTGACCTTCTTAAGAACACAAATCCAAATGATCCTCAAAATAAGAAGCAGCGAGGAAAAATTATGGTGGAGCTTACATTGAATCCTTTCAAAGAAGAAAATGACAGATATAGTGGCCCTATGAATGGATATGGGAGGAAGGAAAGTAGGTCTAAGATGGTATGTGAAGATGAGGCCTTGAGTGGGGCAGGGTTACTTTCAGTTGTCGTGCAAGGGGCTGAGGATGTTGAGGGAAAGCATCACAACAACCCTTATGCTCTTATCCTTCTCAGAGGAGAGCAGAAAAAAACTAAGGTGAATTTTCACAAGGAAAACTTGGATTAGAATTTTGCCTTTCTTCCGAACTATGTATGAAATAAACTGTGTTCACTAGGAAGTTGCAATTTGAGATGATTCTGATGGTTCATTTCTGTTTAGAATTCTCATCAAGCATCAGCTTGTGAATGCGCTTTCAAATTACATTGTCTTTCTTATAGCAATTAATTAAATTGTGCTTTGGAGTAATCTCTTCATCTCATTTGTGTCTAATATTGTTTGCTACAGATGATGAGGAAAACTCGGGACCCATGTTGGAATGAAGAATTCCAGTTCATGCTAGAACAGGCCCCTTTAAATGAGAAGCTCCATATTAAAGTTATTAGTAAGCGGACAGGCTTAGGTTTCAGAGGAAAGGTAAAATGACCATCCATTAATGTCATAATTTCTGTACTTCACAATCTTTTGGTCTTGAATTACTTCTTTGTGTTATATAGGAATCATTGGGACATGTGGACATCAATCTTACAGACATTGTGAACAATGGACGTATCAATGAGAAATACCATCTGATCAATTCCAAGAATGGAGTGATACACGTAGAGATACGGTGGAGTACGATTTGAGGGGAAGATATAGCTCATAGCTACCCTGTAGATTCATTATGAGCAACTTGTCTACAAAAGATAACCAAATTTTCTATCATAACAATCTATATCTGTATCCATACAGATAAAACGAGTGAACAAATCCCCCATGAGGCAAGGGGGGAAGGAGGAGATAAGTTTAATGAAAAAAGGAAATCAGGTTGAAAATATATACATTAATTTAATTCAATGCTTTATAAGAACCATTGGGGCTAGTGCCAAGTGGACATCAGTCTTTATTGGTGACAGTGACAATGGACACATCCGTGACAAATACCATCTGATCAATTTTAACAATGGAATGTTACTACATGCTAAAACAAATAGTGGAACACAATTTGAGTAGAGGAGAGCTGTAGCTGCTGTACTATGAGTTTCTTTTTGAGTTGATTATCCATAAAATAATATACAATTCTTTTATTATACAAGGAGTCCTACCATACCATAGCATTTCCCTTGTGTAGGACTAGAGTCTTGGAAATTCAATAATATATTATATCATCCAAAACAATGAATAAGATTCAAGTCCCTATTCTGACAAAGGGGTAAAAGAACAGAGAAATGAGAAATGGAGTTAAAATAAGTGACATCTTCTTGGTATCAATGGTAAAAAAACTATTTTTTAATCCATTTATTTGTTTCTTTAATTTTAAATCTTTCAAATAAATCTTGCACAGTGGCCTATGTTTTCCTTTTGCCTTTTTAAACATTAATTAGATTCTTTCTTTGTGATCTTTTTTCATTGATTTTGTATTAGCTACTTTCTTTGAGATTTGGTGGTCATACTGAAAGCAGGATGCTGTAGTAAAGTAGCTTTCCCCCCATATTCTTGCATCAGGGAAAGATCAATGTTTTCAACCAGTGGGTCGAACCGGCTGGTTGCGGTTGGACTAGTCAAACTGTTACCCAATCCGAATATTAGGTTCATCTCACATTCTCAGTTTCTCACTATCGAGTTGCTTGCCAATTGCCTGCAAATAACTGTTGGCTTGGTCAACGACATGGTCGGTTGAATCAGTGAACTATTGACCCATTCAATGGGTGATGACTCGATGATTAATTATCTTTTATCTGTTTTTTAGTCTTTATCTTTTTATCATTAATAAAAATAATTCTTAACTTTTAGACTTGTTTTTATTTAATATGATAAATATATAATATTTAAGATATGCCTAAATTTTTATTTTTTTCAATACAATTGCAGTGATTTTTTGTAATCTCTATTTTATATATATTTATTATTTACTTTTGATATCATATGTTGACCTATTTGACCATCGCCCATACTAAATAGTGCTTCGGTTTTAGAAACACTTAAAAACAGAAGAAGAATAAAAAAGCAGTCTTCTTTAAATATGGCTCAAGCCCGAGTTTTCTGGCACAGGCTTGGCCTGGAACCTGAAAAATTCAAATCCAGCCTGTGTGCAAAAACTGGTGTTGAGTCGGTTACTTTGAGCTTATGGTGATCCTGCCGAAATTGTAGAATATGGTCTGAGGTGCACTAACAGAGCGCTCTTCACACCGACCTCACAGTATGTATCAGTCGCACATCGGGAATACCTCTCGTATTTGGTTATTATTATTCATGGGAGATGTTCCTCAAATACGATAGGATGTGATTGTAAGGTCTGTGTGAGGAGCAGATCCCAATTCTACAAGTTTTGGGCTTAATCATRGAGGTATCCTGCAAGCTGTCCTACGGCTGCAAATGGTATTCGTTTGTCCAAATTTAAATTGGATTCCATTGGAACAAATATGAATCCACCCATATCTGAATCGATCAATCTAAGTATACATGTTCATATGTATTTATAATCTATATTGTATCTCAGTAAAGTTGGTATAAATGTCTGCATTTTACTAGATTGTCATATTTTTACTAATTATTTTCAATTATTTTGTCAATGAAATATAATAATAGTCATTTATAGTTCATTTTATTAATAATATATAATATTTTGGTCATTTTTAATTCAATTTATTAATTCTATTGAATATTCAATTTCAATTTGAATTCAATTCAGATCTAATATAAATTTGATGGATAAGATCCGCAATTTGAATGTAAACATCAAATTTGTATCTGCTTATATCCAATTCAATTTAAATCCTTTTGCAGCCTGAAGCCGTCCCAATCCAAGAATTAACAATATTGAACCCTTGAAGTTTTCTATAAATCACGAATTCATGATGGACCTGGTTTGTCTCTCTTCACCTGTTGCCTTGTGGAGTTACTGTTTTCTGAACATTATAGGCACGTATTGAAAACAACGTTTTTGAACCACCGTTCATTCGGATGCTTGGACCGTTTAGCCTGGGAAATCGTCCAAGCAACAGGTTCCGTTTTATCAAATCCGGTCCCTAGAAAAAAATCATTGAATTGATCAACAATCTGTTAATCCGGGCGGTTGAATCCTCGACCCGTAGTTGTGGCCGTTTTAATTTTAATTGTGTTTTTTTCTAATTTTTCATTGAAACGGGTCACATTCATTTGAACTAGATTGAACCATTGACCTGACCTAAAAACTGGTGACCAGAATGATTCCAGTTCTGAATCCATTCTTAAAACCTTGATTGAAAATATCTCCCATGTCATTCATAAAAAAATGTTTCTAATACATGGGGTAGTATCTTATAGGTATGGATGAGGTAGATGGAAGACCTGAATAATATTCGTAATACATGAGGTAATATCTTGTAGGTAGTGATGAGGTAGATGGAAGACCTGAATAATATTCCTTAAGGATTCATCTCCTTTTTGCAATTAAAAAATCGGTAAGGGCATTTTAACATCAAAAGGAGATAAGAACGCATAGTCTTCCCTACAATAGAATTTTGAAATTCTAAGTTTCTAACTTGTAGGGTTGATCGGAGAAGCTTATGAGATAATTAATTGAAAAAAAACAAATTGTTTTTGGCCTTTTTATTGTTTATTTCAACAAAAAAACAAAAAGTCAAAATGTTACAAGCTAACAAAATAAAGAAACTGTCCGAAGATGTTTTCCCTAGAATTTTGAAATTTTAATAAAAAAAAAATGCAATAGCCGACATCTGAGATATGTGCTTGAAACTCTTGACTCTTGAATACCACCAAAAAATGGAAAATTGAAATAGGGACTAGGCAAGTTTGTTGAATAATCAACATTCAAACCAGCTGAATTTTTTAAGTAGGTTTGTAACAATCTGGGAGGAAGAATGTTACTTCAGCTCAGCCACCTTAGCCATACAATATTGAGGGGTTGACATGGCCAACCCAGCGACAATCCATTTGACAACTTAATTAACATGTTGAACATGAACAGAAGGAGCTGAAATTCAAAGTACTACTTTTATTTTCCCAAGTAATGGAAACCCAAGAAAGAGAAGACCTTTCTCATTTTGTAATTTGGATTAAACTGGATTTATTTAATAAGTGCTAAATTGTTCTGGTTCATCATCAGCATATCATCCATTTCGATTTCGCAACGCATGAGTCATGCCAATTGCCAAATGCAAAGCTTATCTTAAGCAAGTTCCGGACTCCGGACCTATTTACCCGGTCAACAATCCGGTTTTTAAGAACATCTGGTGTTCTTACTTCTTAGCTTGCCGGGGGCCAATCAAATGGAAATGCCCATATTTTATCTATGAAGGGGCAAAGTTTGAGCTGTTGACCTTTGACCCAATTTGTCCCTTTATTTTTGAATTTCCTTTTCTTCTAGTTCTATAGACTATACTATAGGCTACATAATGGAACGAGAGGTTAAGATCATCACGTCCCACTGTTTGTCCACGTGCAATCCGTTTATATGTTAAACTTAAAGACAAAAGATGGAGCAATTGAGAAAACTCTATAACTAACTATTAATCAGCGATACCAAAACATTGGAAAAGGACCTCCTCTCCATTCAATTGTTTGGTTCAGTTTGTAATTCCTTAATTTGTCTACTTCATAACAGAGCGAAAAGAAGATAATTGTATATTTTATCACCATTATGACCAAAAGATTACTCTTTTTATTTGCACTCTTATATACTTGGTGTAAATGAAATTGCACTGCAAACAATCCAGGCCAGGAACAAAGAAGACTACAATCAGGGTTGATGAAAACTAGCTTTAGGGGAACTATAATAGGCTATATGACTTTTAGTGCAGTAATTAGTTAATAGGTGGATTCAGCTTCAATTCCTCTTCAAGGGTGTGAGAGATTTTTGTGGTTTGTCCATCTTGGAGTGAATTATTTGCTTGGTACCCCCAATAGCAAGTGCCCATAAACTCCCCAAGTATTATCTATGACTCTAGTTGATAAACCCTGACCCCTTTGAATTTTGACTCCCATTTCCTCCTCAAAAGAAAATCTTTAATTTGTGGCCCATCCTTCTGCAACTGTGGCTGGAATGCTCCCCATCTTTTGAACTTTTAAGCCTGATAAACACAATAGAGTAATGGATTGGGTGCGGTTGGATTTGTATGCACAAATGGTGGCAAATCTTGGTCTGACTTGCCCACTTCAACCATTACCAAGAGACCATCTAAGTTCTAACCTACTTGTTCACTTTTGCAGGATCCAGATTCACTTATTTGGAAATCTATTTGCACCCAACTCGAGACATTGCCTTGCCTGCCTATAAATGCTTTCACAGTATGTGCTAATTCTTGGGGACTGACCGACTGAAAGATATTGCAGTACATTAATATCGGGAAGAGCATGGGCAGTTTGGGAACTTTATTGCTCAAAGCAGCTTTACCTTTATGCATGGGTCTTTTGATCTTTCCCAATGCACATCTACATGGTAGTTGAAGCATTTACAGTTTGAAATCTCCTGCAGATCGTCTACTTTGAATGGTGTGGTGTGGTGGATGGAACATTCCCTCCTCTCCTCTCCATTTCATTTCATTAGTTGGGTATTGGAGCATTAAATGGTTTCAGTTGCATGCATTTCTCTCCATCAAATTCAATTCCCAGCACTCAGAGGAAGAGAATTTGCTCAGTTTCAGGTCCAAGATGATGAACCATCCAGGCATCCACAGAACACATTAAATGAGGAAAAAAAAAGGACTACACATTTATGATCCTGGTGTTTGAGTGGAGTTCTCTGTTCCCCCTTATTTTTTACTCCAAATAAAAAGTCCACCTTTTAAAAGAAAAAGGCCCCATCTTTTAGATGTAAAGTTATTCCTCCCCGCAAGAGAACATGAACAAGGGACCAAGACAGTGACTCTTATTTTTTTTTATTTCATTCCTCCTTTCAAGAGCACATATGCTTTCAACTTGGTCTCCATTTATAGTTAGAGAG